GGAAAAATTAAGGACTCAGATACACCCACATTTTGTGTGCATGAAAAAAAAAATAATATACACATATAAAGTAATCAAATTTATTGTCAATCAATATATTTACAATAAAGGTAACGGTAAATAGATTTAATAGTAGAATTACAATATGAAAGGACTTATGTTAATTGTAATGAAAAAGTGAAGATAGTAAATAGTTTGCGTTCTGTTAAATTATAACGATTGAATAGATTAGGACGTTTTGTAGTAACTGGTAGTAAATAATACGTAGTCAAAGATTTAGTTACAAATATTATTTTTGTGTGCTTGGTTTTTTTTAATACGCACATTAAAGAAGTTATTAACATTTTTTATCTTCACTCTTACAATTTAACTTAAGGACCCTAATTATACATTTGAAAGCTCATACATCATTGAAATGCATAATGTTGACGTAATACTAAATTATTATAGGTACATTTTATTTACATAAATTCTCTAATTTTATAATATATATATTTTTTTTATGACCTACCCTTGAGAATATTGTATTTGAAATCTCTTTGCAAAATGTGCTGTGCCATTTAAACTGACTTATTGGGAAGTATGATATGGGAAGATAGAGGGGTCGTCGTACCCCCTTACGGAGGCACGGTACGGGCCTCGAGGCAAACCCCACTGCCCGGGCTGAAGCACCCTGCCATGAAAGGCAGGGGTGAACTGACGCAGGGAGGAATTGATGAGACTTTGATTGAGAATTGATGAGTGATTGACTGTGAAGATTGCTTCAAGCTATCTTTGTTTTAGTTATCTACTAAGGTAGACAAGCTTATTGTTCAGTTCCCAGACTAGCAATGATTGAGGTACAGCCACTAGGCAGTTTATCACTGAGGACTCCCTTTTAGCCTCGTTCGAAGAAGGCCTTATAATAACGCTCGGAAAATACGGTAAATTTCATTCCATGGTCAGATAGCATACGGCAAAATGTCTGGAAACAGATTATGTTAGCTGAAGACCATACATTCTTCATAGCCTATGTAGTTATGAAACATCATATTAAACTATATAAGTAGAAAGGATAGATCTAAAGTTTTTGGTTATTTTGGCTGGGTGTGATATTTTCGTAGTGATTTTGGACGGGTACTGTTCGAAGATGTTGGAGCAGTTTAGAACCGGTGAAATCAGTTTTTTTAACTTTTTAGAAGTTGTTAAAATCTACTGAAGCTATGATCGGAAATGATTGGGTAGGTTATAATGGTACTTCTAAATTACAAACACTTATGTTAACATAAAAAAAGGTTCATTCTTTTTACGAATCGTTTATCGGTGTTTTAGCGCGTGTTTATTTCGAGAGACCATCGAAATTTGTTACGAAATTTAATATGATATGTTTTACTCCGACGATATGTAATTTTTATATTAAATTTCTGCTTTCTGTTCCACAAAATTGACATTACACAAACCTCACTGGTTGGCAGTAAACCAGAAAGAGTTAATAAAATTTGTGAAGTGAATATCTCAAAATAAACGAATCGGCTTTCAGTTACGTAGACTAAGCTCGTCTTAGAAAAGTAAATTATGTCATAATTTGATTGTTAGTGCTTTATATCTTTTAGGCTAGAATTGTTTTTTCTTTAGGAGCATCTCGTACTAAAATATTAAGTATTTTTTGACTTTCAATTTAATTTGCTTGTTGTTGATTTATTTACATTATTATGATATTTAAATATATATTTGGATTGTGTGTTTTAGTAGTTAAAATATTTTCTCTATTGATAAATAACACAAGAGCAAATATTTAATTCTACTAAATTTATTTAAGGTGCTCTTTTAACCTTTTTTTCATACGTCAATTATTAAACGAATCTGGGATCTTAAATTGCCGCAATCTTTCATTTTTTCAAATCATGTAAATAAGTAAAATAAATATTGCAGGCATAAAATTGTTTTTATTATTATCGTTTTATTAAGAAAGGTATTGGTTATGGGTGTCTAGTTTTGGAAGACAAAACGACTTTTTCACGGTAATTTTCAAGCTAAAATTTAGCTGTCTCCTTTTTTGTTAGAGCGTGTCGAATTTTGATAGAGATATATATATTAAACTTTTTTATATTATGTTTAAAAGATAATTTGATACAATCCATAGAATAATTTAGAATGAACCTTTCTAAATATTTACAATACATTTTAATGATAAAAAGGCACTGTGTTTTGAATTCTAATCTACAAAGTAAGGTTGATAAAAAAACTTTGAATATTTTTTAGCACGGGACGTTAAATGAAAATTTTATCTCGTAAAGTCAATATTAAAATACAAGAATAAAAAGGATTTTATCAAAAGAGGATGATAGGCTTTAGTACTTAGTGTTTTTAAATGTTATACGGTTATTTTAATACTATAAAAATGTATAAAATTTAATATCACTAATAGGTAAGATTAAACATTTAATACAATTCAAATCCTTAGGTGCACTCGCATTTATGTAGCTACATGATAAAATTTACAGAATAAGTATCTATATATATATAGTTTAAAAATTGATCAGATGAAACATTAAAAATACACATGTACCTACTGACATCTAGTAAAGTATTGTATGTCAAATAATGAGGATTGAGTCGTGTTATGCGTTGTGTTTTGATGGTTCCAAATTAATGGTTTTCGATCAATTCAAAATTTGTTCTGAACATCCAAAACCATAGATTATTTTTAGGCGGGAACGCGCTATAGGTTTTTTTTTCAATCAAAATTAGATCAGACCACAGTAGTGTGATAATCATTATTTTTCAAGACTGATTTAATTTTCTGATGCCTCGCAGTTGAGAAATCTTATGTTAAAAAGATTATAATATAAATAATAATAAAAAAACTCTCCTGATTTCGCGTGCTTAACAACATTGTTGTTATTTATCACGAATATATTTTGTGTAATAATGTACTTAATTTACGTCAGAAACTTTTAACCAGTATGACAATTTTAGCGATATCAATCACCAAAACAGTTAATGTATTCGAATAAAAAATATTGATGTTTTTTTTTTAAATATGTAATATTATGGAAGGATGTAATGGACCCTGAATTTATAAGAAGATTTAAATTCGTAACTCGATCATCAAATTGGGAGCTGCTATGTGCAATTAAATTTGTGTACGTTAACATTATCATATTATAACAATATTACATGAAAAATTATTTAACTATTTTCTAAACATTATTGCTATAGAAATGCTGAAATGAGAATCTTACAATTATGATGTTTTCATTCAGATAATGTTAAAAAATTTAATTGTGGATTGTTTCAGTTTTATGTATTAAAATGCAGAACCCATCGGCTAGAGGCAACCTTAATAGTTTTAGCTGTACAATCTTAGATTACGTTATGTATATATTATGTATGTATATATTCGATATGGCCGTAAGTTTGAAGCCGTTTTGAAATAGTCATTAACACTCTATCCGTACTAGTATAAAATTAATTCTACAATAAGGATGATACAAGAAATATTAAATTGTTTTTGTTCCAATGAATGAAGTTCTTATAAATTTGAGAATATCGAATTCTTTTTTTACATTCTCACACTTTAACCGTTTTATCTTGGATTTATTTAATCATTATCAAATACTCTAAGATTCTGTAAATTACTTAGTACTAACGCAAATATTAAATATTAAAATAAATTATCTATATTAATTTGTATATATGAGTGTTTTTATAAGCTATCTAAGCTACTAAGACAGCTTCCTTTTAGTTACGACTTTACATAGTGGTCAAGAAATATGCTTCTACAAAGTACTTACTCCTCTCATATACTACTGATATATATCTATACTTAAATGAAATGAGTTGTACAAGTAGTAAATATGGTCCAATATTTGATATATTTTCATCTACGAGATAATCTTACATTTTGTATTAATAATTATAGTTGTTTAAGGTGTTTGATGCAAGTGTTGTTGATTTTTTCCTTTCACTGTAAAGACGTTTTTTTTTCTCCAGAAAACTCCTGTGTTTTCATGAACGCTAAAGATTAAAATGGGCTTAGATTTACAGAGAATTTCTTCACATGGTCAAGCATCGATCGTGTTGAAGTACCTTGGATATTGGATAACATTTAAATTACGTTAATTTGGATCATTGTGATTTTTCTTATAAACTTAAAACATAATATGATAATAAACATGACAAGAGAACAAATAATTGCATAGTACAATCTCAACTAATTTAAAGAAAGCAGAGAATTGATAGAATGTGATAAATAAAATATGACGTCACCAGGAGAACGACTATTTAGATAGTCGTCGTGGCCTAAAAGATAAGACGTCCCGTGCATTCGTGTTGAAGCGATGCACCGGTGTTCGAATCCCGCAGGCGGGTACCAATTCTTCTAATGAAATACGTACTCAACAAATGTTCACGATTGACTTCCACGGTGAAGGAATAACATCGTGTAATAAAAGTGAAACCCGCAAAATTATAATTTGCGTAATTACTAGTGGTAGGACCTGTTGTGAGTCCGCGCGGGTAGGTACCACCGCCCTGCCTATTCCTGCCGTGAAGCAGTAATGCGTTTCGGTTTGAAGGGTGGGGCAGCCGTTGTAACTATACTGAGACCTTACAACTTATATCTCAAGGTGGGTGGCGCATTTACGTTGTAGATGTCTATGGGCTCCAGTAACCACTTAACACCAGGTGGGCTGTGAGCTGGTCCACCCATCTAAGTATTAAAAAAAAAAGATATATTAATTGTATATGAATTGTTTTTTCAAACCCCCTCCTTCCGTCTTTCTCCTCATTACTGAGAGTCGTGACTCCTGCACTGCATCAATCTCTCTTTTACGATTGTTCGCCATCTGCTGCGATCCCTGGCCTCGTGGAGGGCATCGTGGAGTTTGATATCCAGACTAGACCGAATTCGGTCCGACCATCAGGTCACTGCGTCCTCTGGGACGTTTGTCTTCTATTTTCCCATCAGCTGCTCAATATTTCTTCACTATATAACCAATATTAGATGCCATTTACACAGGAGTGTTTCTTCAAAGAGATTCTGTTCCATGATAATAACTATGGTACAACGACAGCCGTTTTATTTAGACAAGCTTATTTGTCGAAAACATCATTAAAACTTGCATCATTTTATTAAAATACTGAAAGAAATCTTAACCTATCTTAATGAACTATGAACTACGTATTATTATATAATACTACTATTAAATTCTCTCAAAAACTTGGCACGTAATAATGACTATGATAAAAACCGTAAAACTTGGCGTTACATTTTATAATTCACTACGATTAATATAATATAGATAAATGTACTAACTAAGTTTGAATAATAGGTACATGTTAATTTATAGATATTTGTTACGTTCTCTTGGAACGAAGTTTTACTGTAATGATTCAGATCTGTTATTAGCATAATTAATTATAATTGTATGGATAAGGGAATCCGGTTTAGGGAATCAACGGAACATATACGGAACAAACACATTTCGAAATTTAAATACAATTTTCTGACCAAATAGATTCTTACGTATGTGATTAGAAACAAAACGCTTTGTATTGGCACGACTATAGGTCAAAAGGGAACTTGACTGAAATGATTAAGTAGCTCATGGAGATTGTCAAAGCCAAAGGCACAACCGAGCCGCTACTTTTCATAGAAGACAAGTTTTAGCTTTAGTTTTTTTACATTTAGAAGACATTGAATCATTATGGCATAACCTCATCCTAAAAACCGACCGACACACACAAAACGACCTGTGTTCAATACAAACGCACACACGCACATAAAGTCCTTCAAACGAACACAGGGCCGTCATTCTCCACTCACAGGACGTGTAAGTTCTCACAGTTCTTGAACTTGGTGTCTTCCTTGCCGAAGATCCACGTGAACATCTGTCTGGCCTTCATACTGGCCCGAACGACGCCCCTGGACTTGTACCAGTGTGCCGGAGACGATTCCCTGCCGCCCTCTGCTGAGTAGTGCTGCTTCTTCAGTCGGATCTGGTTGAGGATGCCGACAAGGAGCTCGTCAACGTTGTGGTTAATCCCGACAGATACCTCTATGAACTTTGCCTTGTATGTACACGCAAGACATTTTCCGTCTGCGAACAAAAAAAGTACATTAGTGAACATTTAAAAAAACTTCAAGAAGACAACGTCTTTTATCAATATTGAAGACCAAAGTTAAAAATCGAATTGTGTTGATTACTTTAGCATTAAAAAAATATCTTTAGTAAGATCCAGGAAATTTCCGCGGTTAAGTCGGTCACGTCTTCGCTTCAGCGATTTTTAGTGTCTAGCTTAGAACATGAACCAGGAACGGATTTGGAAAAAAAAGAATTTCGTGTTTTGTACTTTGGTAGGGCATGTTCAGGCCACGTGGACAGGTACAATCAGCTTGCCCATTCTGCAGTAATAAAAACAGTCAACCGTCTTTTTTCCTACATAAGCTGATGTTCTTGAGAGACCATATCAGCGTCATCGGGCAAATAAGTGAGCTCACGGGGCTCAAACGTGACGTTGTTGCTAACACAAACCCTATTAAGAGCCGTGCTTCGCAGAATCTACCACCGGATCGGAAAGACGACCCACTGAGAAGATCCGGCGAGAAATTCATTGAGCTGGGTCTGTGGGTTAATTTACCGAGCTCTTCGTCGCAAGCGACGGGTTCGACGAGAACGATAGTCGAATGGAAACAGTTAAGTATCCGAATCTTCAGTAATAATATAGTGACAATAAAAGAGACGAGAGATAGCACTATAAAAGTAGTTTTAATTAAGTAATTAGATTCAGAGTTTTTAAGAAAAGATAAAAAAAGTGTATGAGAACAATTTTGTCTAATTCCTAATACATCTCTGGCACAAATAATAGGCTTAGAAGTGATCCGATACGACTGTTTCGCCGCCGCTCGGGAAATCTGGCCGCGATCTCTGTTCCTAATGCCGGATAATGAACACCAGATTTCTGATAATCATCATTATTTTCGGCAGATTTACGCGGGAATAATCATTTTTCTTGATGAGGCTTCGTTAAGGAGCTTAAGAAATATATTGACAGTGTTCGCGGGCACAACAGAGCTTGGTTTGATCAATACTTTTTTCTTCCATTAAAAAAATACTACGGTAGTCGTTTTTGATTCCTCAAAATGGGGAACGAAGCTCACAAAATTTGTACACAAGATATTACAATTTTGCGCGTCAAATTTCACACATCAATGAAATCATCAAATCGATTTTTCCCAAGCGTCGTTCAAAGAACACCACTGATTTTTTTTTTATAAACCAAACAATTGCGATTGAAATTGAAATATTTAAAACGAGAAAAATATGATTTAAATACCTTAATAACAAATTCTTCGCATTTAAAGCAAAGGTGAGAGTTCAGCGAATGTCTGAAAAGCAAATCTTCTCTATTCGTTCACAAGCGAACAAAGTGTTTGAAGCCTCCAAGAGAAATGGTTTCAAATTTGCACTAAATCGAATCGTAACAAGCTTGGATCCCTTGATTTATACACTCGTTTTCTTTTCAATTTAAGAGTTTTTTCAACTTTTAAAATTGGTTTCGTGTATTACACAAACATTGGGATTCTTTATAGAACGTGAGAGAATTTGGTTTTCTTTATTGCCTAATATTGTTTAGTCTTTATATTTAAATTGAAACTCAATATTATCATGTATTTACTTGTTCTAAGGTAGCGGAATATTGGTTTTTAGTGCATTTTTTATTGAATCAGTTAAACGAATACAGGAAAAATACCCACCCAAATTTGACTATGTTAGATAAAGTTCTACCAAAGATTTTCAAATAACAAGAGCGGTTACGGAACAATTTTAAAGGACGCAAGCCAGAGTGCTCTTTACAAATTTATTTAAGACATCTCATTTCAAGATGCATGTTGACCGGAATATCGACAGTTGAAACAAGCGGATTGTATTGAAATCGATTTAAGAAATTAAAAAAAAATCAGTGTTGCCCTATTCCAATATGCAAAAGTACTCCACTTCATAAACATTACCATCTATTCTTAAATAACTAATCTATTCTTAAATAACTAATATATTCTTAAATATCTAATCTATTTTTAAATAACTAATCTTATTCTTAAAAAGACAGTTTTAAAACTCACCTTGTGTGGAGACGGCCCTACTCCTTGCCAGGTCTATCTTGTTTCCCACAAGCAACGCTGGTCGAGCACGCAGCATGTCGAAGTCCAGTAACCTGGCTAGTTCCTGCTCAGCTTTCTGGAAGGAAGCCTTGTCCACTACAGAGTAGATCACCACGAAGGCATCTGGAGGCTCTGATCTGTCGATTTCTTCCTGTGGGATGATGGAAACAAGTGAGATTTTATGGTAAGTGCAAAAGGTTTATCTGTGATTTAAACTTCACTTGTCACTAAAGAGGTTTCCTATTTCAGATCAGATCCACTTATCGCTCATTGACTTCACGCGGTCAATATAGTTGCCTACTATGATGCGTGATGTGGAAATCACCTCTATCGTGGAGGGTTAGTTACACATAGACTGACTCGGCGGTAATTAGCGCACATTCGTACTTAGTACCTTAGTACTTAGGGTTGAGGGTCCTGTTTTTCCTCACATTGAGTAAAAATTCTTGTGACGAACAAGTTTGTTTGGTCTTTATCTTGGTGCTTAAAGTCGATACATTGCAGTGTGATTAAATCATTTAAATCAAGCCTAAATTTACCTTAGCACTGGTGCAGTTCACGAAATAAAGCTCTGATTCTTCCCCGTTAAGGAGTATAGAAACCTTCTGTTCTGAGCTGTCGACATCTGTAACAATAAATGTGAATAAGAAAATATAAGCTTTGTTATCAGTCTAGATTACGAGGTATGACGATCTTCTATGGCAATTATTTTTCTTATTTCCCTTGTAGGCCGACGAGCGTACGGCCCGCCTAATGGTGAGTGGTTACCGTCACCCATGGACTTCAGCAATGCCAGGGGCAGAGCCAAGCCGCCGCCTACCGTTAAACCACGTTAGGTGCCACCACCCTGCATATTTCAGCCATTAACCAGTAATGCGTTTCGGTTTGAAGGTTGGGGCCGCCGTTGTAACTATACTGAGGCCTTAGAACTCATATCTCAAGGTGAGCGGCGTCATTTACGTTATAAATGTCTATGGGCTTCGGTAACCACTTAACACCAGGTGGGCTGTGTGGCTCGTCCACCCATCTATGTTTTTATTAGCGATGTGAATGGGTTGCATGCTGTTTCTTATGATGAGAGATTTGAGCTTGGCCATTGGATCCCTTCGATCAAGTGGCTGTATGGATTCAACAATCATTTTTGACAATGACTCGAGTGACAGTTACTTATCACGCACACAACTTCAATCCCTCATTCTTCAAAATACTAAAAATAATATTGTTTTGTAAATATTTTCTCTAAAATGACGCAATTAGCAAATCAATGCAATGACTCATTTATTACGTCATTCTTCGCGGGAAAATTGGCAACAGTTCGACAATCAGTCGTGATCGAGTCAATAATTGCAAATTATTTTATCAATTGTACAATTTTATACCTTAAATCCATACACAAAGAAACCATTTGAAAAGCAGAAACTTTTAAAATGTATTTACAATAATCAAAAAATGAAATTGATTAGGTGAGCCAAGTACAAATACTTTCGTGCGTTCAGAAAACCGCAATTTAAATTGCACAGCTAGTCGGCCGATGACCCCGAAACCGGTGAGGGTGTATCAGTTATTTCACTTCCATTACGTGCTTTTAATAAAATTTCAACAATGATCAAGTTCAGGATATCGAGGCATGAATACGACTTTTTACAGTAATGGAAGACGGCTAGGCAGCTATTCAAACCGGAACAATCAATAGCTTAATGAAAGAAATACAGAGGACAATAGTTATTTTGGACCGAGATTACTTACTGTACATTATAACGTGTCGCGTCGCGTTTCCGATCCGGTGGTAGATTCTACGAAGCACTGCTGTGCTAGGGCCAGTGTTAGCAGCACCTTTTGGTTTGAGTCCCGAGAGCTCACCCTAGCATAACGCTGATATAGCATCTCAAGGCTATTAGCATAGGTAGGAAAGATGATCCATCTAATGTTGGGAACGCCAGAGATCACAACGTTAATGCCACCATCTTTAGAACATGATGTCGAAGTCATATTAAGAAGTTATCTTGAGTAACGGCTGTCCCACCTCTTCAAACCGGAGTACATGATTGCTTCGCGACAACAATAAGCAGAGTGGTGGTCACGTATCCGTTTAGGTTCAATCCCCCCCGTGAAAAATCGGCAACGAAGCCCATAAACGCGTCAAGAGCTCCAAGATTAACGTAAACCAATTAATGAATATTTGTGAAATGTTTATCAAAGCAGTTTCTCCTTGCAACGCCTCCTATAAACGAAATCAGGCTTCGCCTTCGGTATTACATGAATTAATTACCTACCCACTCAGTGTGAATGCGATTCAATAGGCTCTTAATTTACATGCTGATGTGTTGTTGATAGGTTCGTTTGTGATTGTATAATTGGGTCTTTCGTAGACTTCGGCTGTACGTCATCGGATGTTGTAGTTATTCGTGTGATTCGTGAAGTTCATTTAGGAGGGTAGGTGATAAACAGGATAGCGCTGTGCATGACGCAGCAGTACTAGGTGGTATGAGTGAATTATGTGCTTCGTGCGAGTTTTTTAACTTTTCGATCGCGTAAAAGTTAACTGTAATTTGTATGGAGTTGGAATAGCTTTCCTTCGTTTGCCGCTAGGGGCGCTGTTCCAACTCCATACAAATTTGAGTTAACTTTTACGCGATCGAGAACGTTAAAAAACTCGCACTAAGCACACAATGCTCCGATAACGAGCTGTGCCATAAAAAAATGAGNGTTAACTCAAATTTGTATGGAGTTGGAACAGCGCCCCTAGCGGCAAACGAAGGAAAGCTATTCCAACTCCATACAAATTACAGTTAACTTTTACGCGATCGAAAAGTTAAAAAACTCGCACGAAGCACACAATGCTCCGATAACGAGCTGTGCCATAAAAAAAATGAGATGGCCGGATCGCCTTAAGCAATTCCTCAGAATACTCCTCAGGGTACATGCGGCATTTTCTGATGAAAATAACTCAAAATGTACTTTAAGTTATTATCGCACAAATGTAAATGCAGCATACTCTAGTAACTATACTGAGACCTTAGAACTTATATCTCAAAGTGAGTGGTGCATTTACATTGTAAATGTCTATGGGCTCCAGTAACCACTTAACACCAGGTGGGCTGTGAGATCGGTCACCCATTTAAGCAATAAAAATAAAAATACTCGTATAAAAAAAAAACGCGTGTGTGACATTCCTCCGTGCCGTTGTGACACAGGCAAGTAACAGAATCACGAATGTTCAATATGGCTGAATACTCGCTGACGAGACATCCATTTAAATGCAAAAAGGAATTTGGGGCTGTACTAAATCGAAACGTATTTCTTCGTTTCCTACTTACAAAACGCCATTAGAAAAAATATTTTCATATGACATAATCTACATTCATCACTGTTATTTCAATAATTTGGTTCAAAAAGCTGTTCCTAGAATTTGAAATCTCATGAAATTACGTATGTTACCAATTTTCCTTTTATTTTCACACATCCAACTACCATATTTAATATCTAAGCAAAAAGCAAAAGTCTTCATTTAGTTGTTATTGAAAAAATAATCGCTGCCTTTATGATTGTGTTAAAAACAGAGGTAGGTACGATCCTGCGTTTTTTTTACCACGAATCTGTCGTGCGTTCCATTTTGAAGAGTGGCAAAGCCGTTATACAATCCGGTTGAGGCTTAGACCTCATGTCTCAAGGTCGGTGGTAAGATTCACGTTTGGGCTCCAGTAACCGTTAAAACTAGACAGGTCGTGAGCTCGTTTACTCATGTAATAAAATATACGTATTAATTAAACTGTGTACATAAATGTATTTTAAGAGCCCTGATATTAGGCTTATAAATAAAAAAATCAGAAATAATTAGCACCATCATTTTTCTACGACAAAAGAAATGTGTCAATGTCAATCTCTAGCAGACTGGCTCTCTCAAATTTGTTACGGCGCGGCACTTTTATCGGTAAAGGAATAATTCACGGCACAGTACAAATTGTTGTAGCTCAGTAAACTCATTAATTTCATTCATTCGTTCATGTTTTGGTTGAATTTTTCATTACTTCCTTTATGCTTACTGAGAGTTTAGTTAATTTTACTCTCAAATTCATGCACTGATGTTTTCATGCCTTAATAAAAAAAAAAAACGAAATATTTATTAGTAAAAACACGATGATGATATCATCTCAAACAATTCCTCAGAGCACTCTCCATGGAACATACGGTACAAAATACAGAGAGAACCGAAGTCTCTCCGCAGATGCCTTCTCAGTGGGTCGCTTTTTCGATCCGGTGGTAGATTCTGTGAAGCACTGCTCTTACTAGGGCTAGTGTTGGCAAATTCGCCAGGCTGTTGCCCGTGAGCTCGCCTATACGTTAGGTAAATCTGGCATGGGCTATCGATAGAAGTTACCAGAATAGGTAGGCAAAAAAAAACACTAAAAATAAATTCGTTTAATAAAAATGAAAGCTAACAGATTCTTGGTTATTGGCAGCAGTAGCTATGTATTATGGATGGCGGGTAGTTAACGCTATCATAATTATGCCTATTACAGCCGTGAAGTTCTATAATACAATTAAAACTTCGACCTCCAAGCTTGAGGTGCGTATGGGCTCCGGGACCCATTTCCGTGAGTCGTAATTTCATCTGTCTATCTGAAGAAAGAATAAAGGAAAACCAATAAAAACTTTTTCGCATTTGTAACGTTATTATTATATATTAAAATTACAACGGTATAATCTTATTTTTATTATTGATATCGATATCGATATTAATATAATGAGTGTAAAAGTGTGTTTGTTTGTACATGTTTCACGTCGAAGCGATGTAACAGAGTGTCATAATTTTTTTAGGTGATAGCTTAGCTCAAAAATGTTAAACCAGGCTACCTTTTAATCCAAAAAACATCTCATTCCCACGGGAAACTATTCGACTATCTTTCAATTAGGTGTGTAATTATAAAAAAAATATATGACACTTTAGAAAACAATAAGATCGTTTATCCTTGACCACGTGGACGAAGCCGCGATTAACGGCCAGTTAAAATATTATTTTTCTGACCTTTTGAATGGCCTACAGCTTTCGTGATCACGAAGGACTAAATCGCATAACTCGAAGAATAATAAAAAAAAAATGATTTGAAATATTGATTACTGAACTTACTGTCTTCATTCCTTCCTTGCAGTTAATATGAAAAGAAGAACGGAGCGGCCGTGGTATTTACAAGACATTTACTATCTGATCGTAAAACGCACAATCTGTCTTGGTTTTCAATTAACCGAAGTGGTGCTTCCCTGGCCATAACGGCCGTCGGAACTGTAATAAATCCTATACCCTAGGAGAAGCAAGACGTTAATAAGACGGATTCTGAGATCGACCTTTTTTTTTAAATGTTATACTTAAATATCATACAAATAATGCAAAATGGCATCTCAAGAACCATAGCAAACGTACCATGGTTTGTGACAAACACTGAGATCCATGAAGCCATGAACAAGAGAACGGTTAAGGAAGAGATAAGGTTGACAGGGACTAAGTACAGAACTCGGCTAGAAAACCACCCAAATACCCTAGCCAATGCGTTGACAAAAGTCAGTTACATCAAACGACTGAAACGTCATGATATACAGGGAGTTGGTGACAGATGGTGATCAATGAGG